TCCAGCCCCTCAGATGTTTGGGACAGATTGCAGGCCCTGCAGTGATGATGTGGCCACCTGTGGTCTGCCAAGGCTTGTGCAACCCGAAGTCCACCTTGTACAGGCGGTCCAGCTGCCAGGAGCACCAAGAACATCCTTGCTCTTGGCCCAGCACGGTTTGTGCATGCACACGCGCGCACACGCGCGCGCGCACACACACACACACACACACACACACACACGCGCGCACGCACATCCCAGGTTTGCGTTTCCCGCTGGATGGTGAAACGGTCAGCCCAGGCAGACTCTCCATCACATGGCAATGCTGAAGAAGTAGGGGGAGGGTGGGCAGCATCTGATTTGAGGAGCACAGAGGTCCCTGCCTTCAGATCTGAGGCCCAGCAACCCGCTTTGTCTGTAATCTGCATGGCAGGTGTCTCTTATCTCTGACACCAGGAAATCATGCCTATATATGCACAGCAAACAGCTTCAGATCTGAGTGTATTTTTAGAACAATGAGCCTGGAAAAGAAAAGCAGCAATGCCTGTCAAAAAATGGATAATGGGAAAGCTAACTACCTGGGTCTGGATTTGTCAACTATTAATCAAATGTCGAAAGGAAAAAATACTAGGAGCGCCCGCATTTCCATGTTGGGTGCAATCCAAGGGGGAAGCGGCTCTGCAGCCCAAGCTCAATCACACTGCCCACACCATTTACGGGGATGAGCTACTAATTTCAAGCTCAGCTGAACTAACGGATCACCTCCGTGGCTCCCGATCCGTTCGGATATAATAGGCCCAGGGGTGGGCAGAGAGAGGCGTTGGGGCTCTGACAGGGATGAAATGAACGAGCCGGTGCCAGTCTGTTCGCCCAGAGTTGGAAGGCACCGGCTGGGTTCTTTGATGGGCTGGATCCTACTGCTAGAAAGAAAGCGGGGAAGTCAGTCAGTAAATGAACCTTCAAATCTGGTCCAGATTTCTCAAAAAGCAGGCGGCAGTGGGAGGTGGCACAATTAACATGAAAAAGATCACTCTGAGTCGAAAATGGTTCCGATTTCAGTCAAGATGAAGCAACAAAAAAAAAGCATGACCAAGTGTATATGTCTGTGTGTAGCATGTACATCACCCATCTTGTATTTGGTAAATTTATATGCATACTTCCCACATGGGTGTGCATGCACACATAAATACATGGCTGAAACATAAGCACCGCGAGGGCAGGGCCGTCTCTCTCTTTGCTCCCTGCCGTTCTCAGTGCCTAGAACAGTGCCTGACACAGCAGCAACTCAGCTAATTAGGAGAATGAGTGAACGCTGGGAGGATTCCCTCCCAAATTCATGCAATTCCTCTGCACAGTGACTCTGGGAGAAAGTTATCACCTCCCGAGTTTATAGAGGAAGGAAAGGAGGGGAAAGGCAACTAAGTTATTTGCTCAAGGTCACCGAGCCAGTAAGATTTGAACCGAGGTTTTTCCACCCCCAAGCCTGGTGCCCTTTGCCCTCATATACAATGGCTAGGCAGAGGATGCTGGGAAGGTACCCCCTCCCTCCCCGCCACCTACCCTGCACAATCAGAAGGTGACCAGCTGGTCACAACCCCACTGGTAGAGGTGGGATTGAGGTGAAGACCAAGTGGCCTGAAAGCATTGTTCCTTCATCATGAGTCTTGTTGGGCACGAACTTTATCTTTTAAAAATAGGCACTGCCCTGTTTATTCCTTATCGCCTTGAGGTGGACGACTCATTGGATGATTTAAGACAGGGAGCCCCAGAGGCTGCTCAGAGAGGCCACGGGAGAATGGAGCAGAACCAAACCAGGCTGAGAGCATGTACTGGCTTGAAGGAAAAACATAGAAATCTGGGGTATGTGCTCGCATCTCAAATTCCTTTGATGTTTGGGAAGGAAACGCTGCATGGCCAGAAAGCACAGCACTGTGGCGGCCCACTGCATGCTGGGAGATAACTCAGAGGCTTCCGGGGCCACTTGGGAATTTAAATCAGCTAAGTTAGCCTGTGCCAAGGTTGAGAAGGTGGCGCGACTGATATGACCTGTTATTCTGTAATCCGATGCTTACCCTCAGGGACATTGCCTTATTTACAGCTTGTGGTATGTTGACCTCTCCTCCCCACCCCAAGCATGATTTTTTCATTTGTCATCCATTGAAGTTATTTAACTAGATGTACTTTGGGGGAGCTGGTATTTTTCTTGCACAGCCAGTTAACAGCGACACCTGGTGGTAACAGACAGGAAGGCTACACCTTGCCCTCTATCCCCATCCCTCCCCCAAGTTGCAAGATTTATGCCCCTCCTCACAAGGCACATTCGCTAGATAAAAGCATTAAACTGGAATGGCATCTCCGTTCTTAGCATTTACAGCCTTGGTTATATCAACCACCCCCTGATCAATTTCCATTTCCAGAATTTACAGCCTGGTGTAAAAGCCTGCCACAAAGGCTATATTTAATATGACAAATTAAAAAAGCAAACACAGGCTTGGTCATTCTTTGGATCCCGGAAAAGCAAACAGAAGGAAGGGAAAACCCAGGCGTGATGCACACAAAGAGGAAATATTGTGGAGCTGCTGAGTTTGCCTCCATGCCCATCCCGGGGAGGCGGCTCCTCAGAGGTCCCGTCAGTCCCATGCAGACCCACCTCCTTTCGGAGCAGCGCCCCCCTCACAGGGTCTTCAGCAGCCCTGCCAGACAGATACGGCAGCTACTTCCAAAGCAAGCAGGCACCTGCCGGGTGCAGAAACCCACTGCCTTAGAGGGAGCGGGCTTCTGACAGCTCTGGCTGCACTGAGACCGGTTTGCAACCCTCTGGCTACAGGGCTCCCCACTGGGCCCTGGCACCCAGCACAACAGCTTTCTCTTCTCCCATGAGTGGGTGGGGGTGTCACGGACGGCCGTGTGGGGAGGCAAGGGGGGAGCAGGGGACTGGGGAAGGCTTCGGCAGCCATTCAGGTAAGAGATGAGGGTGCCCTGGCCTGACCTGCATGGAGGCTGGGAGGTAAAGAGAAGCCGACAGTTTGAAAGGAGATTCTGTAAGCTTGGTAGACAGGCTTTCACTTCTGAATGGATGTGGGATGTGAAGGAAAGAAGAATAAGGACAAAGAATGGATGGATGGTGCAGCCATTTGCTGACCTTGTTCATCGGTCCCTGCAGCTAGGGCTGCTTCAGTGCTAATGGGCCCGCCCACCTCCCTCTCCCCACTCGGTAATGAGCTCACAAAGCAACCAGGTTTCCCATTGTCTCAGGCTTCCTCTCCCCTTTAGAGAGCTTATTAATTTTTGAATCAGGATGCCAAATCAGCTCCGGATTGAGGCCACACTGATGTTTTCTCCGACTTCAAGTAAGTGTGCAGATGATATATTTGTGAAGCAATCAACCCTGCACTTCCTCACTGCCTGGCCCGGCCAGAGGGAGGTCATCTGACTCAACCCCGAAACGAATGAGCGCCAAGGAGCAAACAAAGGCGCTGCGCCCAAGTGGTCTGGCTGTATTCCCCTCCTCCCCGGCACCTTGAACACCAACTCCAGATGCGGCAAGGCCCAATTCTGGGTTTAACTGGTTTTCATGGCAAAAGAGAAAAAGGAAAGATAATAAATTGCAAAGATTAGTCTGTTTGATGGGTGTAGAAGAAGGAAAATGGGACAGGGGCTGGGAAAATCAGATCTTCGTAACTCTTGGTTGTAACAGGCACACAAAAGCATTTACTTCATTATCTTCTTGAACTGAACTCTAAATCATAGCACATTAGCGTCAGGGACACTGCCTGGGGGAGGACCGTTTTCACCCTGAGTTGGTTCTTTAAGGAACAGAATGGCTGGGGATAAGAAGCTGGCTAGGACGCACCCCCATGATGAAGAAAGCATGACAGATGCTGGCCCTAGGGGATGTGATGGGAAAGAGAAAGAAAAAAGGAAACTGGAGGAATCATGAGCAAAAAATTGCAAAGGACAATAAATCAATCAAAAAGGTACTTCCATCTCTCCCAGGGAGCGCAAGGTTTGTAAGGGAGCAAATGGGCTTTCCTGTTTCACGGTCAGAGTGGCCTTCAGCCTCTCAGGGTCCAAGACTATTCCTACCCTCCTTCCCCCTCCCCACCAGGAAGCTCAGGGACAGGATTCCAGAAGCCCAGGGACTGGGCAGGCAGTTTCTTTGCTCCAGCATATGGAGCTGCAAAGACAGTGTGCCAGGCCACACAGCCAGCTTTTGCCCCAGCAGCTGGCACCCAGGGGATGGCAGTCCCAGGGTGCAGGCTGCTCCCCCGCTGAGAGGAAAGCTGGAGAAAGGGGGCCAGAATGCATTTTGGATTCCAAGTCTGGGGAACGCTGCTCTGCTCAAGGCTTTGGCTTTTGAGAAAAACCCCTTCGGACTCCAGGAACCAGATATAGCTTCTTCCATCAGAGGTGGCACAGCTGTTCTTGAGTAAGCAAGACTTTTGGAAATGAGAATCACGCAATTTCAGAGTTGGAAAAGGCCCTTTAACCCAGTGGCTTTTAACATGACATGGTTCACAGACTCCGATGGTGAGGACACCATCTAGAGAGAGGCTGGTACATGTCTGCTTGCACACACACAATTTTGCATATAACTTGTGCGGATTCATGACACCCTGATGCCCATTAAGACGCTCCCTGGAGTCAAATTATGCCAGATCAGTATCCCACCCTTTCCTTTTGTAGATGAGGGAGCCGAGGCCCGGAGAGGTGCCAGGGTCACCTGATCACGACAAGCAGGCCTAGAAGCAGATCTCCCTCCAGCCAGGAGAGCTCTGCCCCTCCGGCACGCCATCTTCCCGCTCCCGCCCGGCGGCATTGGTGCTGACGCTGCAGCAGAGGAGGGAAAGGTTACTTGCAAAGAGAAATGCGTCTAGTAAAAACGCGTCTCTAGAGGTGGCACAGTTGAAGAAATCACCTTCACCTACAAGAGCAGAGATGCCTCAACTCTGCGAGCCATTAGCAAATCATATATAATTTAGGACAAACGTAAAGAGACGCGGATGATTAAGCAGACGTACCTTCTGGCAGCCTCTTGTAATTTCACGGGCTGTTTGGCGCTGAGGTAAATCAGGCAGGCATCAGCCACTTTATTCAGGTCACCCTCACCTGCAGAGAGGAAAAACAAAACAAGTGCTGGCCCTCGGATTTCATTTGGGGCAAGCAATAGCCAAGTGCCGTCTGGGGAACTGGACAAGCTGGGCAAGAGGACATGGGCTCTTGACCTGGCAAACAAAACAAAAACACCGGAGTAAGTGGATAAATGAGGTCAAAGTAAGACGGAAGCATGTACACATGAAGGGAGGAGAGGAGGGGAGCATGGCTAAGCGGATGGCGCAAGGGTGGGTGTGGGACAGAATGCAGAGTGTGTCCAGGTGAGCCTGGCTGGTACCTACCTAGGTCCAGTCTCTCGCAGAGAGGGCCCAGGCCCTGCAAGACGGCCAGCTGCAGCTTGAAGGCCAGTGTGTGGGAGTAAACTGGTCCGGCCCGGGCACTGACGGGAGCCTGGGCGACTAAGGAGCCAGCCAGCTTTGGTAGGACATCTTTGCAGAACCGGCTCCGGAGAAAATCACCACATTTGCCTCCGAGGGTGCGCAAAACCTGCAGAAACAGCCCCAAGCTGGTGTCTGAACATCACCAGGGCAGCAAGATAGCTAAAGAGCGCTTGGTAATTCAATTTCATCTGGGTCTATGCTTGGGAAGTGGGGTAGGGGGGTGGGGGGGAGGTGAGGGGAGGGAAGGAATTACTGCTGTTAATTCCTTGCCCATGGTTTGTGATTCTGACAGTTATGAATTCAGAGGGCTCTGCTCCCACAAGGTATGGCTGCTTCTATTCATAAATACAGATTACACAGAGAGTATTTCATAGGAATCTTGAGTTGAATGATATGATTAATCCCTTGATTTTCCTCCCTCTTTTGTTAAAAAAAAAAAAAAAGGCCTTAAAGCAGTTAACATAGATCATCCCTTGAATCTTCCTAACATCTCTGAAGAAATGATTTGTGTTTTTAACTGTAACTGGCTGAACAAATACAAACACCGAGGCTGGCTGCTGCCCCGTGTGGACAAGGGAGGGCAGTGGCTGGCTGAGGTCCTCTGGCTGAGGGAGGGCAGAGTCCCAGTGGTCAGAGCCGAGTTGGAGTTCCTTCTGTTCCACAGCACAATCTCTTATGTACATCACCCTCATCCCATCGTTCACAACAGGCACTTTCTCTGCATGTCTCATTTTAAACTTTCTCTAGCAGAACATATTGAAACGTTTTGCCTTGCTGCACAAGACTGAGTATACAGGATAACGGGAATTTCTTTAAAAATCGGTAAGCAAGGCATAACCAGCACAGAGAGTGTTTGCCGACTTTGCAGAGAATAAGGCGCTACTTCGGGGCCCTCGGCTGGGCTGTGCAAGGCCTGACAGACCTCGGGTGTCATCAGCGTGTCTGGCAGCGGGAGAGCAGCCTCTGTGACAGCACACAGGTCTTTATGTGTTTTCATTTTCCTACCCTTGCTGTCATTTCAGATAACCCATTAATTTTCATAAAGGAAAGCAGCCCATCTGAATAAGATTTAGCAAGATCTCCCTGCCCCTTGCCTTCTCTTGCTCTCTCTTTATACACACAGGTCATTTCTTGTTTTATTTTTGAAAAAAATATTAGCAATTGTATAGGTTTTAAATGTAGGCTTGCGTTTTTTGATCTGGCATATGCTAAAGAATCTTACAGAAAACCAAATTACCTTTGCCAAGTATCTTAGTTGTGTTCCTGGCTTTATTTTTATATTCCTCGTCTTGCTCACCTACCTCTAATTTATATTACCTTGCCATGGTAAATGTATCTCTGTAGGTTGCCTTAAGTGCTTTTTAGAACAAGAGAGAATATACATAAATCAGCTAAAATATGTGAGCTAATACAAGTCAAACTAAGTCAGGGAGAACAATACCTTCCATGTACGTAGGGCTTTACATTTTTCAAAGCATTTCACCCAGCAGCCCCATTTATCCTTGACAACAGCACTATGAGGAAGATGGGCCAGGTGTTCCTAAGCCCAATCTGAAAATGGGTGGTCACTGGCTTTGCCCAAGTCACTCGGCTGGCAGAGGATGCCCATTACTGGCACTAGATCCCTTCACCTGACGCTTGTGCAGTGCAGAGAACATGGCGTGAACTCACAGGTGTTTGGTTCTAGCACTTCAGCTGTATGATCTTGAGAAAACTTCTTGGCTTCTCTGAGCTTGTTTCCTCCTCGGACAAGCATGGGGATGATAATATCTACATCACAAGGTTGTTATAAGGAGATGAGCTCATGTATGGGGAAGTGCCAAGCACATTATAGGACACAGTAGGTGCTCAATAAATACCGGTGGCCCTATCATCCACTAGGTATCCCTGCTTCAAATTCAGAAGGAAACTGACTTTTATTTTCTTCCTTGTGCTTTCTGATTTCTGGTGCTTTCTTCCACTGTATTACACTGCAATCAGATACAAAGAGAACCGATCCCAAAGGCACTGGTGAGCCCTGTGCTTACTCCCCTCTGTCCCCACCGCAGTAGGGGGCCGCCAGGGCAGTACCTTGAAGGCTCTGAGCACTGCCAGGGGGTCATCCTTTGTGAGTCGGCGTACGAGTGGGGGCCAGGCCCGGTGAGCCAAAGGGAGGAGCTGGTTCCGGTGGGACTGCAGAACGACCACACACAGATCCAGCACATCCAGGACCTGGAAGGAAAGAGGGCATGGCTTCAGGAGGGAGGTCAGGCTTGAAACCAGGGTAACCAAGTGCCCATTTTAAAAGAATAACATTTAGAAGCTCATTAGTTGGATAAATATTTACTGAGCCCTAAAAACATGCCAAGCATGGCTAGGTACTGACTGGGGACACTCAGGGACAAAATGCATATGCTCCTTTGCCTTCTTGGGGCTTGGTCCACTGCAGAGAGATAACATCCAGGTCAAGGGTGATCTCCACTTGTGACAAGTGTGAGGAACAGACTCGTAAAAGGAGACACACAGGATGAGTAGCAGCTGGTCATGTGCACAGAGCACGCCAGCGTTCCTAGAACCGGAAACAGTGACGAGGGAGACTCTGCAGTGGGGGAGCTTGTGGTGCATAGGTGCTGAGGCAGCGCAGGGTGGAGCACTAAGACAGGGCTGGATAACCTATTAATGACACAGGTGTCATGTTAAGGATTTTTCACTTTGTACTGAGGGCAGTGGGGAGCCATGAGAATGTCTTAAGCAGGAAAGTGGCAGGATACAATTCATGTTTTAAAAAGGTCATTCTGGCTGCTGGGTGGAGAAGGGACTTGAAGTGGGAGAGAGAAGTAAGAAGGCCCTTGAGGAACATGGCACATGTCACGAGAGGAGGAAAGTGAGGTGGCCATGTAATTGCGGCGGCAAAGTTACCTGTTTTGGAGATGAAATGGTTTAAACTGCTGAAAGACCCGATACTGGGGAGATGAAGAGACTGATCTTAGAGCTGCTTGGGTTCAGACTTAGCAACTGAAGAGATGCAAGTGCTGCCTAATGAGACAGGAATAACGGAGGAGTGGAATCGAGAGGCGAGGTGAGAGCAAGGTCTGTTATTCCTAATGGAGAGGCCAAGCAGGCAGCTGAGATACAGTCAATCTTAGAAGAAAGGTTTTGGGGAGCCTAGATGTAAATCGTATTTTTACCTTCCCAATCCCTCATCTCTCCCAGCTCACTGAAAGCAGGTGGTCGCCTTCAGTCCCGTGGGAGTGGGCAGCCCACAGGGCGGGGCCGTCTCCACAGAGCCGGTGAGGGCATGTTTGAGTCAGAAAGACTGAGGGAAGCCTGTCAACTTAATGTTAAGCAGTAAACCTTGTATTAAGTGCCTACTGGGTGCTGGTCACACTGAGAAAGAACAAAAGAGGAAGTGGAATAGGAGAAACTCAGTCCACAGTGGAGAGCACACAGTGGAAAGGGCATTGGTATCACCACTGGCTTTGAACTTGAGTTCTGTTATTAACTGGGCAAGTTATGCCATACACTTCAGTGATTTAGACACATTTTCCTCCTCTGCCTGAAATGTTCTTCTCTCTGCCTTTGCCCCTTTGCATGGTTGGCTCCTTTTCAAGCTTTTAAGTCTCAGTTTAAGTATTACCACCTCAGAGAGGCCCTCCTGACAACCGGGCCTAAACCCCAATGTAAGGTCTGCCTTACAGGGCTTGGTAGAGTAAGTTCCCAATACATGTTTACTACACGGGCGAATTACTGTTTTCTATCACAGAACTGCTTATTACCTTCACAGCATTTCCTCAACCTCTAAGTGTGCGCCTATGTGTCGCCTCTTTCCCTACAAGAGTCAGGAAGTTGCATGAAGACAGGGACCATGTCTGCTTCACTTCCTTCTATACGGCCCCTGCCTGACCTGTTGTAGTCCTCAGTAAGCATTCAGTGAATAAATGAATGAATGAGTGTGTATGTCATACGGGATGCTGTTTTGTATTTATAATTAATAATCCAGTGAGATAGGCACTACCATCTCCATTTTACAGACGAAGAAGTTGAGGCTCAAAAAGGTGAATTAATTACTCAAGGTTATATGGCTAGTAAGAGGCAGAGGCAGGATTTGAACACCTGTAGTCCTGATTCCAGTGTTCATGCTCTGAGTAACAATGGTGTGTACACAACTGCTACAAGGTCTCCAGGAAGGGGAAGACGGATGGATCAACCAGACATAGCCTTGCATGGAGCAGACATTGGAAAAGCGCCTCCTGAACAGAACAACAGATGCATGCTAGGAAGTGCCTCTGGGAAGACTACACAGATTTCACAAAACACGGAGGCTGAGGTTTGAGAGAATCTGTGGAGCAGGGTTTCCTAGCCCACACCTTTGCGCAGGGCAATGTGCTCTCATCACTCCCAGTAATTCATCTAGGCAGCTGTGCTTCTCACTCGTGCTGTGGGTGGGGAGGAGAGGGCTGGGCTGTGTGGTTTTCCTTTGGGTACTGAGATCTTCCCCCAAATGACCCTGAAAGCTCAGTCCCCAATGCCCACCCCTCTGCACCCCACTGTGCTGTTGTTAGGCTTGGAAGAATGACCATTCCTTTCAAGTTCTGAAACCTACATCTTTCATGAAGTCAGCTCAGAAAATGACATCTTTTCCAAAGCCTATGCCTTTCTTCCCTTTGGAAATCCAATGACTCCCCCAAAATGTTGTGGGTTTTAATTCCACAAAGGGGACTCAGCTCCTTCTGGCAGCTGAGCCAATACAGAGAGACCTAAGAATGTCTCCCCGCAGATACATTCCTCCTGCCGGCTTCTCTTGGCCACCACACGTGGACCAGGAGATAAGGGCAGCTACTTGCTCATCCCTGCAGTTGCTGCCAACCTCACCACGCCTTAGTGAAGGCGGGAGAGGGCTGTACACTGACCTTCAAGCGGATTTTCAGGCTTTTATCTGACAACAAGTGGATGCAGCGCTCCATCACATCGGTGGCTATTTGGATCTGCAATGGCAGTGGGGGCTCCACATGGGGACCGGTGTCATTCTCGTCCACTTTGGGAGGGTCTGACTGCTCCTCTGGAAAAAGACAGTATTTTATGAGCAATGCCCAACTTAACCTGATCTCCCAAGGACTTCTGAGGGAAAATGTCTAGAAACTGATTCTAAGGAAATCGTGTTAAATTTGGGTTAAGATATTCAACAAGCATTAACTGTAACAGCTAACTCAGGGGGGATGGTTTTATAAATCTTGGGACAGCCAGAGAATAACATGTTATGAAGGCCCTAAAATTTGTGTTTACCAAGGGCTTTAACGACAAGGGAAAGTACTTATGAAATAACGTTGTGTGAAGAAGAGAAAAGCAGGATACAAAATTGCACACATTGTGAGCACTGTTATAGAAACTTTTATATAAAGTTGGAAGCACCACAAAATATGAACAGAAATGGGTCATGAGGTAATAGATGAGCTTTACTTTTTTCCTATACCTCTGGTCTTCTCTAAATTTCCATGAGTAAATATTTACAATAAAACCCTAAGAGAGCAAGGCTCTATCTAATATGGAGTCCTGAAGCTGCACCATTCCCTGTGGCCTCTGGTTCTTTCCTCTTTCTTCTTGGTTCATCTTTTGACCAAAGGGGGTATATGTCTGTCTTTACCACCAGCCTTTAAGATCTTTTGATCTCAACAAAAAGACTCGAGAGCTTCCTGAAAACCAGGCCAAAATCCCTACCCTGAAAAAGTCTCCTCTATTTATTATACATAGACCCTCCAGCCGCTCCCCCATTACCAGCTGTGCTCATCTCCATTAAGCTGAGCCTGGCTCCCGTAACTTTTCCCCATTTCAGTTTCCTCTGCTGGAAAACAGAATCTTACAGTCGAGGCCACACCCGTCTCTAACAGATGCCGAAGTGATACAGGAAAACGCATTTGTGCAATGCTTGGATTCCTTGGAGAAAGGGACCTCAGAAGCACACCTTGGTTTTATTGAGGTTAAAACAAAAACCGCATGTCAGACAGCACTGAGCCGAACATTCTTCATAATTCCGTTTGTGGTGTGTACTTGATGAATGATAATTGCAGGAATGATAAGGCTGTACTTTTCTTCCCGGAGTAGGCGTTGTTGTTTGGAATTCGCCTATTGCAGGATGTTACTTGAGGGATGCGAATGTTTCTGTTACTGGGAGGAAGGTTTGATTCATTCAGTCTATTCCTAGGGAACATCAACTAGACCCAGAAGATCCTAATTGTGAAAGAATGGATCCGCTGACACTGCTAGGATTTCAAACAAAAACGGCAAATCCAGATTTACGAGGGATCAAGCTGCCTCCCCTTCTTCAGGTTTGAGCAAGAGGTGCAGTTCGGGAAAAGAAGGATTGGGTTGGCTCGAGAAACAGAAAGGAGAAGAAAAACGGATAGATTTCTGATCAGCAAACTCTGTCCTTGGGGAAACCAATGACTCAATTCTGCATAAATCATTACTGGGGCCCTGTGATGCTGCCCTGTCATTTAGTAGGAATTTGTTGCTTAGTTCATCAGAGCCTCAGAGAAGAAATAAAAAAAAGAAAAAAAAAAGAAAAGAAAAGAAAGAAGAAATCTGCTCGATTCCAAACCTAACAAACTATTTGGGACTCAGTTCGATTTAGGACAGTTCTGAGACCACCAAGCTCATTATAACTTGGCATTTTATATTTGCAGAGGAGATTCTAATAATTTATTAATCCCTTTGTGACCTGAAGCTCCAGATTGGGCTTGTGAATAAAACAACAGGCCAGAGCTTCAGCTAGCCTAAACTGCCTTCTTTATCATATAAATTGGTAAGAAAAACACTGAACCTTCTTTCCACTGATAAACAAATGGACCAGCATATAAGTAGACAATGGGCATAAGTAAAAGAAATTGTCAGGAAAGAAGCTTAGAGAAAGATGTTTAACCCTTCCACTAATCAGAGAATGCAAAGTAAAATAACAAGAACCATTTTAATTTAGTAAGAAGTAAAACTGGTGATAGCCAATGTTGGCAGGATTATGGTGAAACCAGTATTAATTCTGCACTGCTGAAGGGAAAGTGTAAATTGATACAACCTTTCTGGAAGGCAATTTGGCAAGCATAAAATAATGTTCATATCTTTGACCCAGAAATCCCACTTCGGGGATTTACAAAGAAATTTGCAAAAAGAAGGAAAAGGTCACAAGCACAGAATCATCCGCTGCAGCTCTATTTATTAGAGTGAAAAGCTAGAAGCAACCCTAAACTTCCCACAGGGAAATGGATACTTAGTAGCAGCTATTAAAACACTAATTATTAAAACTCTACAGCAACATGGAGAGTTCCTTATTATAAAACTAAATGCAGAAAGGGCATACTGCACTTAAATAGGTTGCAACCATATAAAAATAGGTTTGCAACAAAAAAAAGAATGGAAAAAGATTATACAAAAAGTGAGAAAGCCTATGTTAGCATGGTGGCGTTATGAGTGATTTTTTAAAATTTCCAAACCTTCCATAATGACCTTTCATTGTTTTCACAATAATCTGCCTCAAAAAGAAAAAACCGGCTGAGCCCACATAAATTATACTTACCTTCCTCATCAAACTCCGAGACATTTCCATCTGCCACATCCTTTTCTTTGAGGTAGTTCAGCAAAAACTGTTCAATGTCTTCGGCTGTGGTGATGTTCTCAAGTCTGTCCTGAAGAGCTGTTGTTCTTTGGCTCAAATGACTTCCCTCCTCCCCTGTACTTTGCTCTTGGAGTTGCCCAAGATCACTTGTATCTGGGAACCACTGGGCTGTAAATAAAGTGTTAGAACGGTCACTGACAACAGTCATTAATTACTTATAAGTAGCACTAGAGGCCCAGTGCACAAATTTGTGCAGGGGTGGGGCCCAGCTGGCCCATCCCGATCAGGGCCCATGGGGCTGGGGGGAGGGGACGAAGGAGGTTGGCTGGCTGGCCCTGACCCCTGGTTGAGTTCCAGTTAGCCTTTTATTATATAGGATAAGCTCTCTGCCATGGTCTGCATGGCCTCTGCATGATCCAGCCCTTACCTTTTTCTCTAACCTCATCTCCTAACCACTCCCAGTTGCTGTACCATCTCCTAGTTCTCCAATGTGTCAGGTGTTTTCCTGTCTTAGGACTTTTAAAAAAATATATATTTTATTGATTTTTAACAGAGAAGAAGAGAGAGGGATAGAGTGTTAGAAACATTGATGAGAGAGAAACATTGATCAGCTGCCTCTTGCACATCTGGGGATGTGCCCACAACCAAGGTACATGCCCTTGACCGCAATCGAATCCAGGACCTTTCAGTCCACAAGCCGACACTCTATCCACTGAGCCAAACCGGTTTCGGCTGTCTTAGAACTTTTGAATATACTGTTCTCGCTGTCTAGAATATTTCACCCCCATGCCAACACACTTTTCATGTCTCAATACAAATATAACTTGACAACTAACGCCATCCCTTGACACCCCCAATCTAACATAGGTCCCTTCTATGTTGTCTATGTAGCACCATGCTCTCTTTCATAGCAATTCATCATGATTTATAATTATATTTACTTGTGTGTACTGTTTAGTATCTGAATCTCCCATTAGACTCTATGACCCATTGATCATCACTGGAAATCCAACGTGCCCAGCACAGAATGGGTACTCAAAAGTATATGCTGAATGAATAAATATACTAGATTGGAGAACATAGTGACAAAACCCTGAGTACAAGAGACACTACTCATTAGCAAAAGACAGGCTCTATGGAGCCTTGAGAATGAATGCAGGCTCACATCTATACTAGTATTTCTGATATAAAATGCTTCCAAAAGCTGCCATTTCTTTCTACATCTTTTTCTTCTTCTTCAGTGATGCTTCCGTACTTCTGATGTGTCATAAGAGAATAAGCCTTAAACGTTACTGAACCAGTGATTTTCAAACTGTGCCTTGAGGAACCCTAGGGCTCCACACACGTATCTCTGGGTCACAACAGGGAGGTCAAGGGATAGCAGGCTAGCCAGGTGGGCCCAGGGTTTCCAGCCCTTCTTTAACCAGATCAGCTCTAATTTCAACCCTGGGACTTCATTTCAAAAAGGCTCTTAATACTTAAAGAGTGAGAGAACAACAAGAAAAGCCTCTGGCCTGAATTTTCACTCTCCTTGAATAAGGCAGCAGGGAAAAAGTCTCTGATAACCTTTAGGACTTGCTAATCTCCTCTCCATCACGGAGCATCTGCACAGAGCAGAGCAACAGCAGGTGGAGGTGCCAGGTCAGGCAACTGGGAGGAGCAGAGAGCAAATGCTGGAGATGAGAGCCTTCAATCTGGAAGTTTCTATATATTGGGGCCCAATGATCACATTTCCTCAGTGCCTCATCCCAGACACAAATCAGGCCCATGATGCATTCCCAACGAGTCAGGACACAGCACTCACACTGCTAAAAGCAGACCAGTTATAAAGATTATTTTCTAGATTTAAGTCTAGTGCCAAACATTAAGAAGTCTTTGCTCACAAATGGCTTTTCAACATATGAAATGAAACTCAACCTCACTCCTAATGCAAGTTAAACTATAATAAGGTGCTATTTTTCTCCTAGTAGATTAGCAAAGATCAAAAAGCTAGGTAATATATAGTGTGGGTGAGGCCGTGGCAAAATTGGCACTCATATATCACTGATGGGAGTTTAAATTGGCATGAACTCTTTGGAGAGCAATTTGATACTCTACCCAAAATTTAAATGTAATACTTTAAGCCAGCATTTGTCTTAGGAAGCTTATCCTACTGATATACTTACCCATGCTTAAAATGAGTTATGAAGATATTAATTGCATTTTTTTTTGTGGTGGCAAAAAATTGGAAACAACCAAAATGTACACCAAGAAAGAATGCTTAAATAATGATGCAGCCATACAATAGAATATTATGCAACCATCAAAAACAATATGGCAGCTCTGCATGTACAGATGTGGCAAGTCTCCAAGTGCTGAAGCATGTGACACGGATGCTTTCAAAGCCTTGTTTTGTTATGAGTAAATAATCAGCCAACCAATAGTTGGTGCTTAGGAATAATTTAACTGATGATGGCTCTTGCCCTCTCTGTGGTACCGAATGCTTTTTAGTTGATGCTTATGAAACACTGTGTTTATGGTTGTTCTTGTTTCTTTTAGGACCTTTAGGAAGTTCCTTGCGACCACACTTCCACTTCCATCTTAAAAGAGTGCCCATCAGTTAAGACAACTGGATGACGAAACAGAAATGCCAGCATCTAGTGCTACTCTGATAATTCCTTACTGTGACTGATCAATTTTCAGAACTCCTTACTGTTGAGAATGCAAGTATACTCTGGGTTATCTCAAAAGTTTCAGAAAAGCTAGCCCCGGTTGTGCTTCTTTTCCTAAGATGCTCTCAAGTCAACCTTATCCACACTGATTTTCCTCTCTGCAATGGAGACACCCTCCTCCTCTAGTTCAATTAAAAAAAAAAATTGCTATACAGAATTCCTCCCTGAGATGACCAAAGACATTAGCACTCCAAGGCAATAATTCAATTTCCAAGGTCCAAATTGAGATAGATCCTGAGAGGATATATTTAATAGGTCTTTTCTTAATATATTTTTTAAATCTCAAATTAATATGTAGTCAAGTTCCCCAAAGTACTAAAGGGTGAAGTCTGGAGTGTATTTGGACCATGGAAGTCAGCCACAGTCTAAAAGGTACAAGCAGTTGGCTCATCTTCATAGTTTCCAGGAGGGCGGGGACTAGAGCAGGGACTGGTCACGACTGCCAGCCCAGGGACTGGTGCAGTACACAGGCTTTCCAGTGGATGCAAAATAAAATCCCAACTCCTCCCCTGAGCCTAAGCCCCTGCAGGATTTGTCCTTGCCTGCCTTTCTAATGTCACCTGTACCAGTCTCTGCACCATTACCTCTCTTCTTATCTCCAAAGATTCCAAACTCTTTCTTCTCTCTAGGCCTTTCCACCTGCTGTTCCCTGTGCCTGAAGATTCTTAAAAATCATAAAACAAAACATGTACTGGTGGGCCCTTCTCAGTCTTCAGGTCTCAGCTTTAGTGTCACTTCCTCAGAGAGGCCCTCTTTGAACACTTACTTTTATCCAAAGAGCATTTCTCTACTTAAAAGTAGCCCATCCCTGTTCCTCTCTTGTATTAAGTTGCCTGTTTCTTCACAGGGCTTATAGGATTTTTAAATGAGTTTAGTGATTTGTTTACTTGTTTATCATCCCTCCTGAAGCAGGAGGAAAGTTCCATGAGTTTATTCGTCTTGTTCACTGCTGTATCCTGATTACTTAGCACAGTGCCTGACATATGGCAGGCATTCCTTATTGAATGAATGAATAAAAGATCATTTACACTACACGTGAATGTTCATGAATGGAGGGATGAACATTGGAAATGGTATCAGCTATAGGCCAGAGGACTGTCCTGTTTCCCTCACCTTCTGGGAGAAACTTTCTTACACGGTCTTGGCTTCTCAGCAGATGAGGTCAGTGGCCTTTACATCTACCTTGGAGGCTATTAGCAGTACTGAATTAAGCACTGGAGCTATACTCTTTGGATAAAAGGGACTCAAGTATATGGCTCATTTTTTTAAAAAAAGTGTTTCTCATTCAAAGATGGTCTATCCAGTTGAGGGATTCTTTTTTTTCCGTAAAATCCAAAAACTTTTTTTTTTTTTTCATTTTAATGGTGGCTAACACCTCTGATAGAAATCGTACAATTAAAATGTCAAAAGAAAGTTTATAGGCCAGCTCTGTCCAGTATGGCAGTCCATGTGGCTATTGCATAGATGCTTAAGAGCAGCTTGGTATATTGAAGAAAAAAAAATCACAAATCCTGTTTTTCTCCTTATTAACTGTGTGACCCTGACTAAGAAGGATCTCACTGAGCCTTAGCTCTTATCTGCAAAACAAAAATAATATTTATATTTAGTCTGCAGGAGCTCAATAGATGGTAGAGATTATTAAAAGTATGTGACCATAACATGTGGAACTGGGTACATTCAAATAATATTCAAATAATGTCCTCTGCAGCATAACCACAAACAAAGAAAAAAAAGGTTAAGCAAATAAGGATACTAGTCCTCCCCCACAAACAGCATTAAAAAGGGCTCCCAGTGTACCTAATGCTGCCAGCAGAGCGTGTAGAACACTGACAAAGGAAGTGGCCCTCTTATCGTAAAATTGGTCCAGGGTGGCCAAGACATCTTGAACCACATCTGCCACCAAGGGAAGCAGGCTAGCATCAGAGTTCCTCAGCATGACTTCCAAGACCTTTGGGGTATGGGGGTGCAGAGACAGATGACGCAGATTTAAAGAGATCCCATTCACCAAATAGTCTGAATTTTGGTTGATCAGTTGCTGCAGGGAGTCGTAGCCACAAGCATGGCAAATGTCCATCATGGCACTGGTAGCGGCCTGGCTAATGAGCAGGGTTTGGTCTCCAGCCTTCTCCAGGACTGGATAGAGGGCTGACATCAAGAGCAAACGGAAGTCTGTTCCTAGTGCATATGCAAAGTGGCCGATCCCCTCCAACTGGATGCATATTTGCCAGATGTTGCTGTTCATGGAGCAGATAGTGGGACTTGGCTTTGAGAAGGCTGGAAAAGATGCAACTTGGCAGGTGTGTGTACCAGATGTGATGGCCTGGAGGCCCGACTGCTTCATAGTTAGCTCCTCTCCCATTTCTTCAGCTTCAACACAAGTGGCCAAATACCAGTTTTCTTGGCTCGTGTATTCTTCAAGTAGAGACGTCACAATCTCTCTCAGCTCCTCTGGGCTTGTTTTAATATGTTTTTCATGAAGATTTTCCACTTCCAGCCCAGCAGCCCCTGCAACCAGTTCATTAAGGATCATGGCGGCTTGCTTTCGGTAAACCACGGATTCGTGGTACAGGTCCATGAAGTGATCCACGAGCAAATGGAGGTTCCCATAAAAACCAAGAAGCTGACAGACCTGCTGCAAGAGCAGGAAAATCCTCTCGTCAGTAAAGAAGCGGAAGTATCTCCTCTGAATCTGACTCCACGGCCTTGTGGCCGTCTTCGGGGAAGCACTCAGATGATCGGAATTCCAACGCCGCTCTTCCACAATTTTGATGTCAGCCACGTCTAATTCTAGAACTTGGATAAGCGCTTTGGATAGGCGCTGGAGGTGGGCCACAGAGTTGAGGACAAAGTTCACTTTGGGGCCCAAGAGTTTCAGGTAACCGAGCAATAAGGAAAGGGTAGAGAATTTGCCCTGATCATCTTGGGAGTTCATTAGGCGGGGAAGAGAGGTGGCGAGGGAATGCAGGTTTTCTGACAAGATGTCAGCGAAGGCTCTGCTGCCCACTACTACTTTCTGATCTGCAAAATGTCTCAGAACCTTATTGCACTGGGCTTGGACTTCAGGACTCTCGTCATTTAATAGACCCACCAAAGCCTTCAGAAGGGGTCCAGCCGATTGGACCAGGGACTGACTACACTTCCAAAGGAGGGCCTCCACAAGTTCTATCAGCTCCAGCCTCACCTTCCAGTGTGGGTGAACTGAAGCGCACTCAATGATCTTCTTAATAAGAATAGCCAACTTGTCGCCGGTATTTTTTACCCAATCGGCTTCCCTGTGAACCATCAGCTTTGCTACTCTGTCCTCCACCACGGGCCTTGCTTGGACCTCTGAGATGCTTCTGAGCTGTTTGTCAGCCATGATAAAGCCCACTGTCCTGTAAAAGATCTTCAGGGAAGATACGACAATGCTGTGCCCTTGTTTAAAGTCTCCTGTGATGACCCTGGTCAGGGCTGTTGAGATTCCAGGTAAAAAGGAAGCAAACAAATCCCCCAGCTGCTTTTGCTCCAGCTCATCCAAGGACCTCGGATGGTCGTCACAATCGCACTGCAAGAGGAGAACCTGTAAACACTTTAAGGCAGCGATTTTGATTTGCTTTGACTTCTCCTGTTCTGCTAGGCCTAACAGCAAAGATACAGCAAATCCTAAACGAGGCAGAATGGAGGGCTCATAAAAAGTCAGGATGATGTCCCCGTAGGCCGAGTGCATTAAAGTGCTAAGGCCCTGGATTACCGCCAATTTCAACTCCTCTGACACAGCGGCGGGCTTTTGGGAGCTGGGGGAGTACAGACAGGTGGAGAGCTCTGAGAAGAGTTCCTGGAGAAGCTCCTGTTCCTTCACACATGTCGAGGAGAGGACAAATGTGAGGCACTCCACCACGCTTTGGATCAAGCGTTCCCTTTTGGGACCTGGGGTCTTCAGGGCAAACCGCAAAGGGAAGAGGATGTACTGCTGGAGCTCCTGCAGGGCCGAGTCACTCACAGTCCGCAACTGTGCCTGCAGCTGCTCCACGTTCTCCACCGTCTGGGCTTTTGTCAGCCGAACACAGATGGGACGTAAGATGCCAAAGGCCTCCTCAGGAGTGTCAAAAACGGCCATGGTGCACTTCCTCTCACAGAGGAACCATCCTGCGGGTTGGAGGAAGGAAGCAAATACAAAGTAAACTTGCATTCATTCATCCAGCAGACATGTAGGGGAGTCTAATGTGCCAAATGCTACACAAGACACTAGGCCAGTGGTCAGCAAACTCATTAGTCAACAGAGCCAAATATCAACAGTACGATGATTGAAATTTCTTTTGAGAGCCAAAACTTCTTAAAATTTAAACTTCTTCTAACGCCCCTTCTTCAAAACAGACTCTCCCAGGCCATGGTATTTTGTGGAAGAGCCACACTCAAGGGGCCAAAGAGCCGCATGTGGCTCTCGAGCCGCAGTTTGCCGACTACAGCACTAGCGGAACAATGGAACTGAAGAGATGGTTCTATTTTCAGAGAGCCCCAGTCTAGTGAGGAAAGAAGATGGACAGTTACAACACAGACTGTTAAGAATTAGACAGGCCTATGCTTACAGCCCTAAGTGAATGTGGAAGACCCATCTGTCATAACACTGGGGAAGCCAAGATGGGATTCACAGGAAGATGCTTGAGCCAAAAGTTGAGGGAGGAATGAAAAAAAATCTGTGGGCTAGTCTAAGGAGTTTGAATTTTAACCTGTCATCATAATGGAGAACCACTGAAGGTTTGTGTGTGTGTTTAATTTGAGGCATAACATACACACAGTAAATTACTCTAGTCTTAATGTACAGCTCAGTGAATTTTTATGTATGTAGAGATCCATGTAACCACTATCCAAAACAAGATACAGACTACTTCCAGCACCTCGGAAAGCTCCCATTTCCCCTGCCCAGAACTACCATATTCTGACTTCAATCACTATGGATTAGTTTTGCCTATTCTTGTCATGGCGAGGTTTAAGGAGGGGGTGATATGATCAACTTCATGCAGAGAAAAGATGTCCTGGCAGCCAGTAGTAACATGGGAGAAGAACCAGAACTAGGTGAGACTGAACGCAAAAGCAAAATGAAAGAGTGGCCAGAGAAATGGAAAAACCAGGAGTGCACATGATGACAGAAATCATGGGAGAAAGAGACTCAAGCAGGATGGAAAGATGGACGGCAGGCAGGCAGGCAGGCAGGCAGGCATGCAGGCAATGAAAGGAGACAGGTTTAAGGGCAAGCGAAGGGAGCTGAGCAACTTAATACTTCTACTCTTTTCTCTGTGAGTAGAAATTCAAAGTCATGACAGTGAACAAGAAGGAGAGTAAGCGGAGGGCTTGAGGAGAGAAAGAAAAGCCTCAAATAATCCCTTTGGGGAAGCAGAGCATGCTGGGAAGACATAAAAGTGTGGCCCAAGGGTACTGAGGACTGAGCTGAAACTGGAGACCATAAAGGTGTACAACTGTAAAAGGCTGGCATTGGATGAAAGCTTAGAGACCATCTAGCCTGGTGGTGTCTCTCTCACTCTTTATTTACTTATATATTTTTTGGCTCTACTTGCTGAGGGTTCTGAACAGATGATGACAAGCAAGTGTCTCTGCTGCCTCTCCCCGTCTCTAATCCTGCGAACTCTATTGAGCCCCAGTGACTAGGACTGGCAGGCAAGTGGTGCTTAGTGTCTGTGGGCAAGACCTGCTCCGCCCAGAGAGCTGGTGCCGAACTGTCCCGCTGGGTCAGGAGAGGGCTCCAAGGCAACAATCAGGCTTTAATACCCTATACCCTAGAGGGCATGGTCCTCAGAGCTCCATGGACCCCTGCGAGGAAGGGTGATGTTGGTCTCTGTGAGGCTTCTTGGGAGTATATCTCCTGGTCTCTGTGACACCCAGAAGCCAGGGGAGGGAAGAAGCTGATATATTCCCTATCCCAGGCTAGGAAAACGCCAGGTGTGAATGCCACACAGCTTGGCCAGGGTCTACAGACATTTCATCGGCACCGGCTCACAGACTGATGACCCCGAGGCTGCTCTGCCATTCTACATGGGTAGTTGAAATAGTAGAAGAAAACGAAGATAACCACTTAATGGCACCTAGCTGTCAGAAGTAGGAAAAGGAAATAATAGCACCCTGAGGTGGTGAATCTTAGATTAACAGAACCACTAAAGGAAATAAACAAAAATTTGAAAAATAATAAGACCAAAAAGGAAGTTCAATTACAAGACAAAAGATATTTCTTAGAGTTTCCAAAATATGATTTTACACATATACAGCGCAATTGATGGGGGAAATAAAAAAAGATGGCTAATTGCTGAGAACCAATTAGTGGCCAGGAAGATTAAGTAATTACTTTAAAACTCTGAGCAGAAATACAAAGAGATGAAAATTGTGAGACCTAGCCCTAACGAGTTTGGCTCAGTGGATAGAGCATTGGCCTGAGGACTGAAAGATCCCAGGTTTGATTCTGATCAAGGGCATGTACCTTGGTTGTAGGCACATCCCCAGTAGGAGGTGTGCAGGAGGCAGTTGATCGATGTTTCTCTCTCATCGATGTTTCTAACTCTCTATCCCTCTCCCTTCCTCTCTGTAAAAAAAAAAAAAAAAAAAAAAAAAAAAAAAAAATCAATAAAATATATTTAAAAAAAAAAGAAAGAAAATTGTGAGACCTAGAGGACAGATCTGGTAGAACTAACATGTAAATAGCTGGGAATTCTGGAAGGGAAAAAAAGGAACAAATGGAGGAGCTAAAACAAATAACAGAAACATTTCTCTGACCTACAAAAAAAGAAAAAAAGATTTATATGGAGACCGAAAAGACAGAAGGATACACACCAAGTCACATTCTAGTAAAATTCCTGTACACTAAAAAACAAAGAGAAAAATCATATATGCTTTCAGGAAGAAACAACAAATAGTGCTGGCTTTGACTCTCTCCTTTACATCAGTAGATACTAGAAGACAGCAGAACTGCAAATGAAGGATTGTGCCCCTCTCCCACCCCCATAAACAGGCAAGATAGTCACCAGGGAAGGTGAAAGAACAATATGTAAGAATTGAGAGAGGATTATCATCTGTATACCCGACAGAGGAAGATAACTGAAAAAGAGCTTCATTCAAACAACAAATGAAACAAAGACCTAAACTGGGAAGGTGAATAAAAAAGAGAATATTGCTCAAAAACTTTTTTCTTTTGGCATGGGAAAATTTCTTCAAGTAAAATGTTTAAACGGAAGCTCAGATATAAAACAGATGAAATCAGAGGGTCTAGTTAAAGCGGGGTGAAGGCAATGACCTGGCTCTGCGTCGCTCCTATTCATCTCAGGAGTTTCAAGAAGATAAAACTACATTCTAGGATTATATGACAAAAACTGTAATAGAGCTAATGAAGTGGGAGCACACAATATGTCTAAAACGACTTCTATGCTCTTTAGCCTGTATTCTCTTTATGACTGATGGTCTTCACCTGAGCTAGAAACCTTAGGCTTTCTGCTTTCTTAATTCCACTATTTCCTTAAGTTTCATCAATTCTACCCCTTCAACATCCTTCAAATGAGTTGATGATCATCATTTATTCAATGTTGGACTGACCATGGCAGTTTCCTCTCTGGCTCCCTGCCTTGTGTGCCTGTACTTCTTGAGCCCACATTACATGATGGCATGTAAGTGATCATTGTAAACAAAAATCTGATCACCTGTCTCCATTCTTAAAATTCTTCAACTGCTTTCCGTAGCCTGCTGAAAGTAAAAAACACTTACCATGGCACACAAGTACCTACCTATCTCACTGACTCCATCTCTTTTGCTTCACCCTTTGAACTTGAAACTGTAACCATGTAAAATAATAAAACTTGCAATTTCCCACACAGGTAATGCTATTTCACGTTTTCCTCCTCTGTTCTAACACTGTAAGTACCGTTATCATAGTATTTAGCATGCTGTATTATTTGCTACATGTCTGTCTTACATACTTTAGCAGTACATATTCTGCATTCAAATATGAGATATTAGGGTGTGGTAGGCCAATATTCTTGCTGACAACTAGAAAAAATGCCAGATAAATTTTAAAAAATCATTTATTAAAGCATCAAATAGTTGTGGAAGCAACACGATAGACTAATACTCTAGTTGAGGGAAATGTTCAGAGTGAGTCAATAATCAGGAGTTACTCTCCCACCCTTCTCCACATGGTGCATTTGCTGATCCTAGACATGAGCTTAGGATTACAACATGGCTCAGTGAAGGGACAAGACTGCAGTCTTCGGGGATCTAAAACTATATGACTTCAGGGGGGAGGCTGAGTGAGAAATGACTAAGAAATGATCAAACAAATGAAAGAGATCAACCCACAGATTCAAGAAGCTCAGCAAACCTCAAGATGATAATACAATGAGAAAAAAAATACACATAGCTACCTCACAGTAAAAATGCTAAAAACCAAAAATAGAGAGACAACTCTTTTTAAAAAAATATATATTTTATTGATTTTTTAAGGAGAAGAAGGGAGAGAGACAGAGAGCCAGAAACATCGATGAGAGAGGGTCATCGATCAGCTGCATCCTGTATGCCCCCAACGGGGGATGCACCTGCAACCAAGGTACATGACCTAGACTGGAATCAAACCCGGGACCCTTCAGTCCGCAGGCAGATGCTCTATCCACTGAACCAAACCGGTCTTTGCAGAGAGACAACTCTTTTTTTTTTTTTTTTTTAAATATATATTTTATTGATTTTTTACAGAGAGGAAGGGAGATAGAGAGTTAGAAACATCGATGAGAGAGAGTCATCGATCAGTTGCCTCTTGCATATCCCCCACTGGGAATATGCCTGCAACCAAATTACATGCCCTTGACCGGAATCGAACCCGGGACCCTTCAGTCCCCAAGCCGACGATCTATCCATTGAGCCAAACCGGTCCCGGCCAGAGAGACAACTCTTAAAAGTAACGGAGCAATAAATCAACAGACAACTTCTCAACAGAAATGATAAAATCCAAAAGACAATAGAATAACATCTTTTAGTGCTGAAATAACTACAATTGAATTTTATATCCTATAAAACATCATTCAAAACTGAAAAAGATGTTTTATACAAACAAAAACTGAGTGAATTCTT